GCTACTAAATGACTAATGGGAAGGAAGCCTATAGAGTGTGGAAACGCTGGACAAAGGGATGATTCACATCCTGGGAGGACAGAGCAAGACAAGCGAGATTTCATCGCCCTGCTCAGAATAGTGCATAATTTAAAACTTATTTATTTCTGAAAATTTTCATTAAATATTTTCAGACTATGGCTGACCTCAGGTAATGGAAATTGCAGAATGTGAACCTGCAGATAAGGGGAGAATACTGTATATTAGTTCCAAGGGCATGAGTTTTAAACGGCCATTTTACCCTTGAGCTCTGGTGGTTTTTATGTTCATATGAGCAGAGCTGACTCTCCATCTGGTCATTTAATGGACAATCATGGGGAAAAAGAGAAAATGATTGGTTCATGTAACTGAAAAGTCCAGGGTTGACTTTAGACATAACTAGATCCAGGTACTTAAATCCTGTCTGTCTGTCTTAGACTCTGTCTTCTGCTCTTACCTATGTCATTTTCATTCTAAGGCAGGTTCTTCTTAAGTACTTAGTGTCCAGATTAGCCACCTAATGGGTCATCTGAAATCTATAAGCTTATCAACCCTCATTGAAAATAAGCATTTCTTTTTCTCTAGCCCCAGAAAAGCTGATGGTTATTGGTTTTGATTGGCCTGGCAAGTCATGTACCTACCCTTAAAACATTCTCTAAGGCTAGGAAGATGCTGCACTCTCAAAGGCCAGGACTTGGAACCACAAAGTGAGGTAACACCATCTGAACTACATGGTCTGAGAGTACAAGGGTGGTTGCTCAAAGTTAAATTTAGTGCTAACACCAGAAAGGGGAATTAATACTGGGTGTATAATACACTATTGATCATTAACGGGGGTGGTATAGGCAAAATAAAAATGAACAAAAAACCTGATGCAGATTCAAAAGTGTTCCAAGCATGAACAAAATGAATTCGATAATGTGAATAGGAGAAAAAAGTGAAAACGACTGATCTATATATGCATCGACTCACCTAAGGCCAGATATAACAACAAAAAAATCTAGTAAAGGGTTTATACTCTTGATTTACAGCTAGGGCCTTTCTGGGAACCACTTTGGTATGGAGACTAATTAGGTTGTTGTATTACCAGAGAAATGAAAGCAAGATGTGCATATACAGTTTATACAGAGAGAAGGATGTATCATAAGGAACAGGCTCACATGCTTTTTGGGGCTGGCAGGCCCCAAATCTGCAGTCTGGGGACCTACGGGAGTGTCGACATTGCAGCTCGCGTCTGGAGGCTGCCTGCAGGAGTAACTCCTCCTTCCTTGGGGTACCTCAGTATTTTTAAGGCCTTCAAATAGTTGGATGAGGCCCCCTCACATTATGAAAGGTAATCTGCTTAATTCAAAGTCTGCAGATTTAAATGTTAATCACATCTAAAAATTGCCTTCACAGCAACATCGAGAGTAATGTTTGACCAAAAACTGGATACCATAGTCTAGCCAAGTGGACACATAAAATCAACCATCACAGTTACCTACTTGAATTTTGAGTGATCCCCACACTGAGCCAGAAGAGAGTTTGCATCCCAATACTCAGGCCAAACCCCAGACCAATTAAATGAAAATATTTGGGGGTATTTTTCGATATTCCACAAGTTATTTTAATGCACATGCAAGAGAATCACCGTGCTAGAGCAGTTGTTCTGCAAGGGTGGTTTCCAGCTTAAGCCACGTTCAACCTCGCCTTGCTAGAAATGCAAATTCTCTACTCCTACTCCAGACCCACTAACATGCAGGAGTATAAGAACATCACACTGTCAGTCTCTTTTCTCTAAACTAGAAGGGCAGAGTATTAGTATTCTTTGGATGAAAGAACTAACTACTTATTATTTTAACTAATTGAGTGTTTGTTGGAAGTAAACATACAAAAGTAAGAGGATCTTGACTGGGTGGCCAGGCTTCACTGAGACTGGGTGTTTTTTAAGATACAACAGATATACGCATGTCATAGCAGCTCTGGTGACTCAGTGGCAGCTCAAGCAGTTGTTGCCTCCCAGTGTTTAAGCATAGACTCCTAGTGTTCCATTATAGTGCCTTGGCTATTGTCATTTTATTTCTCCTTACATAAACTGAATTTTCTCCTTTACCTTCTGTTTAAATTTCCAAATCCGATTGGCTCACTTAATCACTTTCATCATTTGGGTAGTGTTTCCTTAGCATTTGCCCAACATATAAGTTTCTGGTTAAGATAGATTGGCTTTTCTTGGGTGAGGTCTCCCACCAAACTCAATCAGCTGGGACCAGGGAAAACTGAAATGCAGTGTTAAGAATCTCCTAGGGTCATTTCTTTTAAAAGGAGGAGGCCACTAAAGTGGGTTATGGGCATCACACAGTGTGAGGCTTGGTCTGTTACAGATCTTTAGCTATTCTCTGACCCTTAAATCCATGCATAGTTCAATACAAAAAGACATTGAGGAAAATATACATATTTGTTCAACTATACCATTTGGAGATGAGTTGGAAACTTATACTGAAAAACTGGAAATGTTTCCTTTTCATTTCTATGTTTCCTATAGATGAGTCCTCTTGTGGCCCAATTTAAGACTGCCATGAGCCAAATGATTTTGGGGGGGGGGGGAATCTTATTTGCATGCTCCAAATAGTAGGGCCTATATTTGATGCAGAAATTCTCTTTGCATAATCTCATTCAGTAAGCCATAAATGACTAGAAGCTTGTTGGCATTTAAAAAAAAAAAAATCTTTTACCAGGAAAAAAAAAAAAAAAAGCTAGTGACAGTTTTCTTCAGATCATTTCAGATTGGCTGTCTAAGCTATCTTTTCCTAAGTGATCTGACCTCAACATATGCTGAACAGAAAAACAAGAAAAGGCCAATCAATCCCAAACAAAAGGCTAATTAACTTAGGGGAAGGCATAAGATTAAAACCTTAATGATGCCACAACTCACTGAATATCGCTGAATCATTTTACCTGTCAATGCCAAATTTAAACCTGTACTTTACTCAGTCTTGTAGAACTCATTTACATAGTACCAGTATTGCCAAAAAATTGCTTTATCTAATGCCACCAATAATCATTTTAATTTTTAAAGTAACTATAAATACTGCCTTGAAGTTCCAATCATATATTTTGGCTATCCGAATATAAAATAATTAAAACCAATTTAGATTTATCACACTTAACTGATTGTTTATAACAAAGTAATATTACAGAGCTAGTATTTACATTTCGAATTGTTTCAGGTCTCCTTTTAAAGCCCGTACTTTTCAAACTTGATTTTAGATGTTTCCTCTTGATATTCAAAGATCCTGCAACCCTGAGCCAATGTCTAGCTTTTTATTTCATTGAAGTAAAATGTGCCCTTACCTCAGAATGTACCCCTGAAAAGAACTAGTTAAAAAAGTATCATCCAGTAGGTTTACAATGAAAATCAAGGGTCTAAAACGACTTTTATGTTTTCAGGTATTAGCTGTTGAAGTTGGAAGTTTTGGTAGGTTTGGCAATTTTAGCAATGTTTGCAAACATTTTTTAATAAGTACAATTTTATTTTTTTTTAAGTATTTCAAATACATAGCCTAGGAAGATTATGACAACTCTTTAATAAAACATATTTAATTATTCATAATGCTATGAAAGAGAAAATTGAAGTGTCTAATCATTGTTTCATAAAGAAATTATTCCTTCATGGTCTCACGAGAAAAACAATACATTTTGGTTATGCCACTTCATAGGGCTATAAATATTTTCGAACTGCATTTAAAGATGTAATATCCAACCCAACTGAGTTAATAATTTGCTTATCTGGTAAATTTCCTTCATCTTCTGGAAGTTAAATTATCTTCGTAAAATGAGTCAATCCTCACAACTATGCCATTACAAATAACCTACAAGCTGGGATTTACACTTTATTACATCTTTCGAAGTGTTCAATGAAGCGTTTGATAATTAAAAAAAATACAGATAAACCATATTTTTCCAAGTCTCTCCATTTTATAAAAGTAAATTAAAAGAACCCCAAAAGCGCCTATGAATTTTTGTATCCTCACTCATATTCCTAAAAAATAAAACCTAACGTGGTTGATTTCCGCTGGGAAAGCCCTAAGAATGTGAAAAGGAAAAAAAGAATCCATTCTACTATGAGAATTAGAGAGAAAAAAAATCCCACTTCAGTGTAATTACCAGTATATCCAGTTTAATGAAACACAATTACCAGTGTGTCTAGGTGTGATGAAAATTGTTTAGTAGTAGCAGAAGTTATTTTCATGAAGATACCAGCAGAGGTCAGTAAAAACTAAGGCACTGTCATATGAACTTGGACAAGGATGTTAAGCTAGTTCTAACAGGGTGACCATAGTGAAATAGTAAAACCTATACTCACCAAAGCTTAATCCATTTAAGACATTTCAGTTTTCTACACTGTTACCTGACTTGTACATTACCTTTTTGGAGGCGAGGGGGTGAGAATGTGAGGCTACTGGGGGGATCTGATTTTGCAGGGTAGCAAGAGCTCTTTCCAAGAACTGAACTGCTTCAATTTTGTTTAATACTATATTACATCTTCAATACTATATTACAAACCAAACTATAGACAGCCATCCTCGATTAAAAAAAAAATCAACTGGTTTACAGAATATTTCATATTACCCAGGTACTCCAATTCATGTTCAGAGATTCTGAATATGGAGTATTTGTGAGTACATGAATGTATTTTTCAGGGGAGATAGTACACAACTTCCATTAGCTTCTCACAAGGGTCTTTGACTTACAAAAATTGAAGAATCATGCTAGAACTATTCTTTGTATTAATAAATCACTGTGTCTATGTATGTTTCAAAATATATCTGCTAAAAATTTAGTTGAATCCATGCCAGGAGAGCGGTTTTACAGTAGGTTGTCAAGGCTGTGGAGCAGCTTGTTCTATAGGATGTAACATTTTAAAAATAGAAGAATCATATGTATAATATTCCAGAGGAAAGCAGCTATTGTCTTATACTTATAAAAAACAAATAGGAAAAAGATCACATGGGATGCCATTTTATTCAAATATATATGTGCATTGTTTTAATGTTTGTGACCAACACTGCATTAAGACCATAATGTGGCCTTACATTAACTTCTCCACCAAGCGGCACTCTTACAGCAGAAGGTAACTTTCATTTTTGCTTTTGCAGATTAACAGCATTCTAATTTACTCACCTTGAGTCATACGCAAAATATAAAAAGGATCTAGATGATTTTACTGTATTCTGTATTCCTTCAATTCTATATTAAAACACAGTTAAGTGGACTTGTAATATAAATTTTCCAAAACACAGCTTTTATTACAGCCTATTCTAAATCAGATATACCTTTCTCTATAAATGTTTTGCATGCTCATTAAAAGTTGGTCTCCTATATAGGCATAATAAACCAATATTAGCAAAATTGTTCAAGGAATTTTCCCTTGAAAAAATTACCATCTTTGAAAAATAATAAATGTTCTACTAAAGAATGCTGAAATATCACAACTTGAATTTTAAAGCCATTTATTCTGAAGAGATATTCCTGTTTTAAACAAATAAAAAAAAAATCAAAGATTTTAATTTTCCTCTATGAAGAACCTAAGCCATATACTAAATCATACTTAAAAGGAACAAAAATGATGGTGGTAATGCAATTAAGAAAGTCTAATGATCCTGGAAATTCAGAAAAAATTGGAGTCTATGTTTGTACCCTTTATGAGAAAATATTTCCTTAATTTAGAAAAAAAATCTAGCATCTTACTTAAGTATATAAAGCTAATATATTCTTTTTGCCAGTACTCTGGAATTAACTGTACTTCTGATAACTAAGTCAATGAACAGTTATAACTTAAAAACGGCATTTAACTCAATGGTTGAAAACGGCATTCCATCAAAGTAAAACCAGTCATTTTATAAAGAGATACCAAAAGCGTACAGAAATAAAAATAAAGCTCTATTAGTCAGTTCAATAAAGCTGGCTATATAAAGTTATAGTTTCAACGGCTAAAAAAATATTTCAAATTGTTTAAAGCTCATTTGATTAAACTAAAGTACAATATTTATGGAAGACAAAACAAAACGAAAACCTAGTTTCGTCACAATATCTTAGATGATTAAACATTTTAGATAGAATGTCAATTAGCTGTCTTAACAAAAGAGCAGAGAAGTTATCACACACCCCCATTTTCCCAAACAGCATCCATGCAATTCCAACATTGTTTCAATTAATTTCCAAATAATTCAGTCTCAGTCAGTGTTTCTCCACCTTTTTTAAAAAAAATTATTACTCTTCAAGGAGTCTTTTTCAGTCTTTTTAGTTCCGATTAACACCTTGTAAGATTTTAATACCACAGAAATAATGTATATCTGTTTACATATTGTATGTATATTCTTGCTTTACACATAGAAATAACATTTTTGCCACCAAGAACACAATTTCACCAAGAATGCATGCTCTGAACAATGAAAGGTTTATATTATTAAAACATTTTTTTGAAGAGTTTAAGTGGGGAGAGGAAATGGCATGTTTTAGCACACATATATGTAGATTATTCCCCAAACAGTTTAACAATCAACCACTTAGTTGTATCAAAACTAATTTTCCCTGAAGTAGGCACTGCTCTCAGCTACAGGTAGTCCTTGCCTTGGACAATCGTGTGGGACCATAAAAAATGGCCATTCAAAGCAATCTTTTTTAATAATCAATGGAGAAAATTGTGTTTTAAAAATCTGTCAAAACATTAAAAACTCTTAAAATGTAAATAAAAAAATTATAAAAGTATTGTAGTACACTGTAATTTAAAACATTAGAAACATTGAGAATTAGAGTGTTATTTCATTGTAAAAAAACTAATCAAGAGTAGTTTGAACAGTGCTTGTCTTTTTTTGTCAAATAACTTACACTGAGTAAGCATCTTTTCCATACTATGATAGATTGCCATACTCCTTTAAGTTTGGATTAAGTTTCCACCATTTCATCAACTGTACATTCAATGCTATGAAATATCTCTGTAAGTTCCTTTAATGTGAAGTTTCTTACCATCACCTCCTTTGGGACACAGTCATCTTTTTCATCACAACCACCTTCCTCATTCATGTTACGTTTGCCTTCACTGTAAGTTTCTCTGGCTCTGTATGTAGAAGCTCTACAAAAGCAGCCATGTCAACATTCCCATGATCAGAGATTTCTTCTACAACTCCATTAATGTTCAATTCAAATCTCACTTCTAGTATTATGATTTTTCATTTCTTCCCTGCGCTTTGATCTTTGTTAGCCAATTCTTTTACCTACTTTTATAAAGTGTCACATAAGTGACGAGGAGACAACATAACTTCGTGCTTTGCTGCGAAGTGATCAACAGATATGCAGTGACCAATCACTGGCAGAATTTGAAGGAAGTAATGTGATTGGTAACTGATCATGAATTACATCTGTTACTCATAGTGACTCATGGACCAAAGAGCTAGCAAGGAAATTTGTACTTCATGTAATTATTCTGTTAACATACTGTGGTAACTGAAATTTGTGCTGTTAAGGACCTGGTGTTATTTAAGTCACTGTCATCGAAATTTGTGGATATGGGAATTGTGCAAATAGAGGACTGCCTATACCCTACCTGTTTACATTGACCCAGACAGGCTTAAAGCTGACTGCTGAGTAAGAGGCCATCTAAAATTACATCAGACAATGAATCTTAAGAGGCCATCTAAATTTACATCAGATACCCTAAATGCAGTATTAGCATGTATTGAGTGCATGTTAAAATGGTTTTCAAATTTTTGTCATTTGGCAATTAACTTTAAAATGTATCTTAGAATGACAGAATTTTAGAAATAGAGAAAGGACCTTTAAAGATCCTATAAATTTGATACCACAAATTATCCAGCATGTTTATTATGAATTATTTCTCCTCCTTCAATTTCAATTTGCTCATATAGCCACTTGCGGTCACAGCGGCATTCAGCTCCACATTTGGTAGAGCCACAGGCAGGACAAGCGTAGAAACATCCTAAGCAATCTTCGTCAAGGCAGTCGCAGAGGTCCATTCCACTGAAAATCAGGAGACCCTGGCTATCATAGACCTTACTCTTTGCCGGTATCACTTGTCTGTAAAACACAAGGTGAACTACATCTCACAAATATATTCTTTTTGAATATTTAATTGATAATATGGTAATGAAAAAAATTTAAAGAGGTAAAACATTTTGAATTAGGGATGAAGGCCTGGTAAACTGGTACATAACTTAGCAGACTGAAGGCTACTCTACAGTTAGTAGTATACAAACTCCACATTACAAGAGACCTCACATTAAAGTGTTTAGACAAACATAAAAAGCCCGAATATGCCTCTCGAAGTCCATTTAAAAATAAACTCAGCAAAAAAATGGACAAGAACTTTGTCCAAAAAATAAGTATGCATCTGTTAAAACTATTTTCCTCTTACTTTGAAAAAAAAAAAAAAAGCTAGTGAATAAAGGTATGTTTTATTGGCTACCAAGCTCTTTATTGCTTTGTGAACATAATTTTTTATTACAGTATACTACCCTATTGCTTTTTATGCTGCAATTAATCTGTTTCTTGTTCTTTAATGGACTATAGCAAATCTGGCCTAAAAATATTTAAATGACTTAATGGAAAATCTTAATAGATGGAAAAAACAGCATATATAATTCTGAATGATTATAGTAACTTTCGTCAATTTATATTTTAGAAATGCTCAATTTAAAGAATCATAGTCTAAACAATTTAGCGTTCTCATTCATTCGACTGTACAACTATTTCTATTCATACCAAAAACAATGAAAATGCAATCTTGCAATCTCATAAAATTTACTTTTTAGCTGTTGCTCATAGAACAGAGATATACCAATTACATAACATCCATGATTTTCAAAAAGGTGAATTACTTTAATTCTAAGTATAATTTGTTTAAATTATTTTAATTCTCATGCTAAAAATATTATCTTGTTCATCTCATTGATACTTTCTTAGAAACAAATTTTTAGAGTTGAAAAAGATGCCTTAATTTTTTTATGAGGCCCTCAGTGGTTCTCAGCAATTCCAGATTATGTAATTTAAAATACTGACCCAGAAAATTCAAAACTTAAAGAGAAAGATAGGGGAACAATACATATGTGAAGCAAGTTAATATATGCCTTAAGTATCACATAGCCTACCTGTCTGAACCAGCGGTTACATTTTTTGTAAGCCTTCTTTTCTCTCTTTTACCAGTTTCTGGAGCAAATTCTGTTTGCTTTCCTGGGTTTGCAAATTGTAATGACCTCAAAGCTTTAGCAGTTCTTCCCTAAATAAAGGTAAACAAATTATTAAGTCAAATCTTGACATCAGACCATATTAATATTTCATTTAACGTTAATCCAGATTATTCTTTAACCTGGAAGACAATCTGGAACTCACAAAAAAGAAAAAAAATAAAGGTTTTAGAGCCCAACTGTAACAAAATATGCACAGCCCTGGACCATATTCAAAGTTATTGGTGAATTTACCTATAATATTTTCATTATCCAATTTTAGTCTCTGGTGTATTAGGAAGATAGAAAGATAGGCATGGTGAAAACTTCAATGGCGGCCAGCAACACAGGAGAAAAGTCAGAAAAATTGCTTTATAACCGAATTGCATATAACTGAGTTTCCTAATAATGATCCTGAATCCTTAAGAAAAAGTTCTACTATTACTGCATATTTTTTAAAAGTAGAGAATATAAAAAATATAATAAAAAAATAAAAGCAGAGAATATGGTTTCAAGTTCTAAAACATATTATAATCTTTTTCAAAAGCTTTGGTGAAATAAAATTTTGATAGTTAAGAACTTAAGTTTGTTACTTGAGGGAAAAAAGCTTTATGTGACACATTCCATAAGAACAATGGATAAAGCAGAGAAGACATTTTAAGTGACAGTTGCAAGTACCTAGTAGGAACTGCCAAGTAACACTGGGTCCTGGAAATATGCCTCTGAAGGGTGAACAAAAAGAAAGCACTACATGTAATTTAAATTTTTAATTATCTTTTAATTTAGTTTATTACTATAATGAAAGAGAAAATAGAGACAAATAACCCAGCATCAAGAATTATAAATTGGTTTTAAGTAGAAATTTTGAGACATGCTCCTTTGAATATACTTGTCCTTGTTCTACATCAAAGATTGCTTTATAAAATCGTAAGTTGTTCTGATATGGTTAGGTAATTTGAATGTAGCCATGCTAATAAGGAAGAGAGTTATAAAATGTTTAATACTTACAATGTAAAAACGTACGCTTTCTGACCATAAGGAGTCCTAAAATTTGCCTTAACCATACCAAGTAATTTCAGATCCAGAAGCAAAGGAAACTCATAAGCATCTTAAAAACCCAAACAAGAATGGGATAGGGCCAAAGGAAAAAGACTGAAACAAGAAACAACTACTGCAAGTCACTTCTCTGATGTTCCTTGTAAAGCAGTAATTTTCAAGTCCTTCAAAAAAAAACACCTGCTAAACACGGACCCTTGCTGGCTGGCATGTCCCACTGAGTTATGTTGGTCTCGGGGCGGGGAAACTAAGAGTGCTCTAAAAGTCAGTCCTAATGTGTTAGTACTAGGAGTTACAGCTTCAGTCCTGGGCAGATTATGCTATTCCATTCCCAAGCCTACTTTCTTTATCATTCAATCTGGGTATATGGAAATATTTAGAAATGCCATTTAGTTTCACCTCCCCAACTTTATATTCACTGCATGCTAATGAGTATAATATATAATAATGTAAATATGATTTCCTTATAGTTAAACAAAAGCCCACATTGTAGACAGAACACAGCAGGAAAAATGACTGCTATACATACATCTGAATCAGGTTTTCTTCTCTGCCGGTCTTCAGAATCAACATCCACACTTCCATTGATAATCTGTGTACATTTTGGACAAAGCTTCCAACCAGGTACAAGCTGCCTGCCAAATTTTGCACTCAGAAAAGTGGCATCATCTAAGTCAATTACATGCAAATTTTTTTTGGCTAATTTTTTGTGTATGTTAAATGGGTCACAACATGACTTCTGCAAATCCTCAAATCTATCAATGTAAATTTTTGCATGATGAAAGCAAATTGTATTGTTCCCAGAAAGTGTCATTCCAGTTCTAAGTTGAAGTAAAAGCATATCATTTGATGACAATTCTTGCAAAGTCTTGAAACCTGTGTGACGAGTATAGTAGGTTTTATGGCACTCATTTGTGGTACGAAGCTGGACTCCAACTGAACATGGATCCATCATTCTTGATTCCAGCAAGTTTCCAGTTTGATTTTGTCTAGCAATCTCTAATAGCTCATGTGGTGATCACCCTGGAGAAAACATCAGAATCAGATTCGTATTACAAACTTTTTAACTGGGACACTGAAAAAGCATTTAATAAAATTCAATGACTGCTTAGAAGAAAAAAAACTCTTAGCAAGCGAAGAATAGAAAGGTATTTACCAAAAGCCTACAATAAACTTTATTATATTTAATCATAACATATTACAAGCATTCCCTGTGAAGTTAGAACTACACAATCCCTGCTATCACAGTACCCATTTAACACTATATTAAAAGGTATAAGACTTGAAAAGTAACAAATATTATTCAAAGATGATATAAATATCTACCTGGAAAACACAAGAGGTTTAGTATACAAACTATTAGAACTAGCAAGATAATTCAACAAGGATACTGAAAATCAAAGACACTTTAAGATACCTTACAAAATATATCCATCTTACAAAAGATATGCAAGACTTTTATGAATAAAATTACCAAACAGAAAGGCAAAAAAGACACTAATACATGTAGAAATGTCTTGGGGAGTCTGACTACAGTTAATATGTCAATTCTCCAGGAATTTATCTATAAATCCAATACTATTCCAATGAAAATCCCATCAGGTATTCCTCCCACTCCCTCTTGGAATTTAGCAAACTGGTTTATATGGAAGAGTAAAGGTTCCAGTAAACCTAGATAATAAAGAAGAAAAACAAAGCAAAATATTTATTTACTATATAGTATTAAAATTAAAACAGAGGTACTGGCATAATATGGACAAACAGATCCATGAAACGATGAAGGTGTATGACATGGTATTATAAATCAATGGGTATTACATATTGCTGGGAGAAGGATTTAATAAAAGATGCTTGGAAAACTGCCTAATCATGTGGAAAAAGGTAGAATAATATCTATTACAAACGAAAATCAATTCCATGCGATAGAATAAAGAATTAAACATGAAAAAGAAAAACTAAAAATGTTTACAAAAAAAGAGGCGGCTTTGTGACAATGCGGCAGAGAATTTCTCAAACAAAAAGAGCACATATCAAACAAAAAGACGGATACATTTGACTATATGTCAAAATTAAACATTTCTATGTAACTCTAAAAGAGATAAAAAGGCACATTTGAAAACTGTTAGATTATCTCAAATATATTAATAAATCCTGATTTCCACAAATCAATTAGAAAATAACCCATTAGAAAACAAAACAAATATAAACAGGTAATTAACAAAGGAAGAAAACAAAATAGCCAATAAATGCATGCAAAGATGTTCAACCTCATAGTTATCAGGAGTGCAAATCAAATACCATTTCTCATCTACAGCCATGCTACCCTGAACAAGCCCGATCCTGTCTGATCTCAGAAGCTAAGCAGGGGCGGGCCTGGTTTGTACTTGGATGGGAGACTATGTAGGAAGACCAGGTGTTGTAGGTGTAAAAAAAAAAAAGGATCGTAAACTGACAAGGTCCTTGCAATTTGTGAGGTCAACAAGGGTTGCCTCGCCTAAAAAAATAATAAAAAAATAAATACCGTTTCTCAAACATGTACTTGGCAAAAATTTAAAAAATCAATGACGACCTAGTGGTGGCTAAAATGTGGCCAACTTTTACATGCTTTTTACACATTGGTAGGAATGTAAATTGTTATAACTGCTTTAGAGTGTTTTTGACAATTTCTTGTAAAATGAAGAAGTGTACACCCTAGGATCCTGCATTTTCAGTTCTAGGTGACTGTGCTTAAGAAATATATGTCTCATATGAGCACAAGTTATATACAGGGGCATTAAGCATTCACAGTTTTTGACAGTGAAAAGCTGGAAATAACCTAACCTTCTTGTAAAGGACAAGAAATTGTAGATTACTCATTAAGATACACACACCTACAGGCCAGTTAAATTGAATAAACTGCATGAATTACATGTATCAATATAGAACCTTAAAGACAATCTAAATGAAAAAAGTTACGAACGAATTTACAGTATATCATTTGTATAAACTTTTAAACACAAAAAATAGTATATATTGTTTATGGATGAAAACATGTATACATACTAAAATACACACGACAGTAAACAGATGCCAAATTTGTGGATACTTCTAAAAAAGAAGGAGCTTTTTTGAGATTTAGAGGATAAGGCTTAGTGGCATGCACACAAGTGTTTTATTATTTTCCATACTTTCTATTTAACCTTTTTCATAACCACGTATTTTTCAAAAGAAATATTAAAACAGTGGAATTCTTGAGAGGATCCAACAAATGCAAGTCACTAGGAGAAAACTGATGATGAAACCAGATACAAAAAATTGAAATCTGGGTAGTAGACAGGCACCGAAAAATCTAGGATTCTGCAATCTTGCAAATGTTTTATAAGTTTTGTTCCATTTTAAAACTAGTTAGAAATCTTAAGGATACTTTCTGATGTGTTTTCTGTAGAGAGAAACTGTAGTAAGTAAAACCATATACAAAGAATAAACTGACCTCATGGAAGAAAAAAAATGGTGAATATATATCTGAATGTTTTAAAATACCAAATTTAAAAATTAAAAAAAAAATTAAAGTGTTAAAAGGTTAATGAACATTTTATTTTTTTAAAGTGTCTAAAACAGAGTATATTTATCTAATTTATTCTATTTTAACCAACTTTTAAATTTTAACTACTGGGACACTTTTCAAAGGATATTTTGTTTGTAATAATCTTTGAAGAGCTGCTTAATTCATCCTGTCCTTTGAGAGCAAAAATAAATAAATAAAATTTAACTACTGAAGTATAGGTCCCAATCTCATCACATAAAATGTCTTCTATCATAATTAGATTTTTTAAAGAGAAAAGTGGGTTAAGGTAAATTAAGGAGTGGAAAAAGAAACCAGAGATACTGTTATACAACAAACTATTCTATACTGTATCTTAGCAGATATAGGACCCAAATCTGGCTCTGACCTTTCCTAACAGTATAAAGATAACTTGATCAATTATCCTCCAGCACATTCTGGAAATTGCTAATGCTTATAGTTCTTATTAGTGCTGCAGGTTCTTTATAATTGTAGGTAACTGTCATTGGTTTGTAGCTACTAATCTGTAACGGAATTTTTGGAACGTGAGATTTGTTCTTAGTATTCAGTCTTGAGCTACCCTGACCATATTTGATAGAAAAAGCATCTTGTGACTTGGAAATTTATTTTAGAAATTCTATTGTCTGTGGTAATATTTTTACCATTTCTTGGCTACTGAGAGTTTTTTTCATTTTCCTTTAACCTTGGTTAATTACTACACAGTTCACAAGAGTTTATTAGCAGACTAAGTTGTGCACTGCAGCTGAATACCTATTACTAAGCAATCCTAAACTCTCTTGGAAACTTCAAAGTATAACTGATTAACTATTAATTCAATTTTTCTGGTATTTGCTTGGACATCTTCTACAACAGTTATACATTAATCTTAAACTACTATGAACTTAGACTCTTAGCTGGAAAGTACAGAGTTATAACGATTTTTTCTTCAAATTAACCATGATCCTATCAGTCTCTGAAAACATCTCCTTCTGGTAAAGTGACTTCCAAACATTTGGAGCTCTCGGCGCACTTCTGAGTACTGTATTATAATTTTTGGAGGAACACTTGAAGGAATTAAACTGCCTGCACAATTGTTATACTATTTTCTAAGCACTCATCCCTTAGGTGTCACTGTGGGGTTAGAATTTACTACTGGAGTTGCCAGATAAAATACAGAATGCTCAATTAAATTTGAATTTCAGATAATGCACAATTAATTTTCATTTTAATTATGTCCCAAATATTACTAAAAAGTAATTTGCCTGAAATTCAAATTTACCTGGGCATCCTTTATTTTTTATTTGCTAATTCTGGCAACTTCATTTACTATGTTGCTGTTGTTTTTTTTTGCATAGTCCAGGAACCAGAGATCTTTCTTTTGTGCTGGCTTCACATTATGCCCCATCTCTTACTTGCTGATAAAAGAAAGCTGAACTCTCTATGAACAAATTATAGGACCTGCTCAGTTTAAAATGAAATTGTCCTAAAACAATAGCAGAAGGAAGTGCAGAGTAAAAAAGGAACTACTTTTTTCTTGCCCCCAATTTTAAGAAAGATGTGGCAATAATGTTCCAACATGTTTTCTCAGCTTTCTACTTTGTTACCAGTCTCCTAATGAGTGGAAAAAGTAGTATTATGAAATTTAACCAAATGAAAACTTTACTGAATCTTTAGGTCAACTCCAGAGTCCTTCCCTTCCATGGAAAAATCCTTTTGGGGGAGGGGTAAAGTATAGGGTCTTATAATTTGTAGAGCATTTTCCAGGTTATTCTTTAATTAATGAAAATAAAATAATTTCATCTACCCCCCACTATGCAAATCAGCAGCTTTACCTATGGTCACACACATACAAGTCACAACTCTGGCAACTGTCAACTTTCTGTGCCCATTATCTTCAAATGCTACCTATGCTACATGTGAATGGGCACTAACAAGGGTTAAAGAACCAACTAGAGATAGTCTCAATCCTCAAAAAGGCCGAGGACCAATAAGAAAGGAAGAAAGAATTTAAGACAAAAATATAGTCCATAGTACCAATTAAACAATTTATAGCAAGGGCCAGGTACAGCAATAAACACAAACATCTCATTAATCTTTTTAACAACTTTGAGGCACTATCATTCCTATTTACAAAGAAACTGAAGTTCACAGCTCTAGTTACCAGGCTTAGAATAACGGCTGATACAACACACTCAAATATTTGCTGAATTAAAAACAAAAAAAAACACAAAAAAACCCAAACCTAATTTTATTTTAGATGAAGAATCTCCATTAATTTGTTCCTAATGATTTATTCACCTAATGCACTCCCCTTAGATTGATTAATGCTTTGTCCAGTGTACTTTCAGGTCATTTTTAGAACAATGTAGCAAACTCTTCAGGCTTCCAAACCCTATTTGCAATTTGTCACGGTACTCCTCTGGCTCTTATAGGCCAAGGAGAACTGAGGAGGAATTTCAACAACTGAGAGGTTGTTTCCAGACCAAGAGGAACAAGCAAAGCTTTCCTCATTTTACCTTATTCTGGAAGTGGCCAAAATTGTCAAACAATAACTTGAAACAATAACTTGTTCACAATATGAACGTCGAGTAAGGGATTGTGAAACTGAACTGTTAACATTGTGTCGAAAGCACTTTTACTTCTTTCTTAGAAAAGAAAGTCTGGGCTCTTAAGCACGGCCTTACTTGTTCCAAATGCCACATACTCCAGGTCAAACTACACTACCTGCAAAGTTCTTTAACGGTGTATGCCTTCATAGTGTTCTCTTTGTTTAGAAAGCCCTCAGCTTTATCTGTCAGGCATTGTTAACTTATCCTTCACCTATCTGCTGAGCCTCACCCAAATACTATTGCTATAGATCCTCAAATGCCACATACTCCAGGTCAAACTACACTACCTGTAAAGTTCTTTAACGCTGTATGCCTTCATAGTGTTCTCTTTGTTTAGAGAGCCCTCAGCTTTATCTGTCAGGCAATGTTAACTTATCCTTCACCTA